AAGGAGGTATCCGAAGAATGACCTCCGTGAGCCCCGCCTTGTATCTCGATATAACCAGAAGTCAAAGAATAAACAATTGGGATAATGTTATACCTTACAGAAAGAATCCAATTCAGTCCATTTGTTTCTTTCGCCGGCAAATCATTCCATAATCTTTTCAGTCTTCTGTACAAGATGATTAACAATAAAGTAGTTTTGAGTACAAGAATTGTCACATGTGAAAGTAGAAACAGCAGGCAATTTGCCAATTACACGATCAACCTTTGACCGATCACGAGGATTAAACGGATGGCCGCATGTGGACGTAGTGTCTTTTGAGTTGGACGTTGATCATACAGACAGGATATGGTCAAGGTCGACACTGAGACGCTTGTCTCTAAGTAAAATGTCATAGATAAGTACCATTACCACTACCCCGGGGGCTAAAAAATCAGTATACCCTGCTCCAGAGTAAAATCACCGAAACCATACCCTGTTCCAGCATCGATAATTCCGGAATTAAACCCTGACCTTGTTCCAGAGTAAAATCGTTGAAATCCGATACCCTGTTCCAGAGTAAAATCACTGAAAACGATACCCTGGTTGGCGGCACCGTACCCGTATAGCGAATATGGGGGAGTACCCACCCCGGGCTACGGCATTTTTATAGGTGACGGATATCGTTGTTTATCCGCTGTCATGAGCGTTTCCTTCAGGCACTCTAATAGTCCCACTCCCCTTCATCAAACTCTGATCAACAAGAGTAATGGTGGCTGCTAGCTGTAAACTAGTGTGAGCTGCGTCGGAGTTTCTAAAGAGACAGTTGTGTAAAAAAATAAATTTGAAAAAAAGATAAAGATAAATAAACACCGTAAAAGTAGGTGAAACAACTTACTGACGTTTCGGACGTTAATCTTCATCGGAGTAAAGAGCAAAGGATCCAAAACGTCAGTAAGTTGTTTCACCTACAGTTTTTACGGTGTTAAATTTATCTTTTAACGCTACTGTTTCTTTAGAAACACCGACGCAGCTCACACTAGTTTACCGTTAGTTTCCAACTTTTTAAAAACGTGGATAATGTTCGCTGTGAAGAAAATATATACAAATGTAGCCAGGGCTACTGTGGTGGAACAAATATATGTTTAAGAATCCAATCTCTTTCGCTGTACTACAGCTTCGTCAAGGAATACATGAAAATGTTCGCTGTGTTTCTGTAGAGCTCGATGGTACCCACACATCCTAAGCCATGCTTGTTTTTTGTGCTCTCATGCCTGATGCTCCTTGACCTTGTAGAGAGTTATTTCTGAATTGTTCTGTCAATATTTTCTATGTCGCCGTCATGCAACAGTGAACTTTCATCTTTTCATTTCTACAATCTCAAGAATACGTTAATCATTCTTACAGGCATGATATAAATAGAAAAGAAGTCTGCAATGACGGGTCTTTGACTCAGGGGTTACTGTGGAGTCCACGAACTAAAATATTATTTATATTATTATAAACATTTGTCCTGAGCTCCCTGGTTCAAAGTCTGATCATGCAGGAAGATCATGGCTGGTTACAAATGCACAGCATGCATGGCGCCCTAAATTGATCAAAAAATTTGACTGGCTTGATCTCTTGAAAATAGAGTCAAATTACTTTAATTTGATACAGTCAAATTGCGTGTTGTTGACCTCTGGTCAGTGGTCCTCTTCTTAAATTTCAGATATTTAGTTTATGTTTTACACTCGGAAAGGCTTCGGAGACTTTTCAGAACTAGCATTTTGTACAGTAAAGCCCTACGCATCATAACCTTATTTAAGAACCTTGTCAAGCTGAAATTTTCATTTTTAGCTCCCTTGAAATATGAACGTCCATTTCAGCCTGAAAGATAAGCTCCACTTAACTTAACCTACACCTAGCCTGGCTATATTTCAAGTCAGGCACCATTCATTGTCAGACCGGCTCTCGTTTTTTTGCACTCCGTTTTTTCTCCCTCCGTTTTTTCTCCCATAGTGCCTGATAGTCGGGTTATTAGTAACCTATTCAGGTTGACTAGGAAAAATCTATTTGCGTAATTTTACTGTTAGTTCCAGTAGCTTGACTTACCAAGTGCTCATATCGCTGCGATGGTAATTGTCAGAAAATTTATAAACCCTGCGTCATTTTCAATGTTAGTTGTCTGTATATGTAATGGCATTCCTTTCTTTTGTAATTGTTGATTTATTTATATAGTTAACTATTAACCATTTTCGACCACTGAAGTTCCGCGTCGTAAAGGTCAACTTCAAACGTGTCATATGTTTGCTACTGAAGTATCTTATGTTTCATGGACTGTTTTGCATGGAGAYTTTAAAAGGGCAGAGGTTGGAAGTCTTGAATCTCTACTAAGAAGCGTTTACCAATTCYACGAGCTGKTTATCTCTGCTGTTGCAACATTCTTGCCATAGAAGATGTGGTACCCAGCAGAAAASCGACARAATAATATGGCARTGGCTAGACAACAAATGCCAGGCATGTGTWTGCCAGTAAACCAGMATCCTCAAGGTAACATGAATCTGTTAGATTAGAAATTACTTGCCGAATCTTTAGGAAATCATAAATTCAATCGCTCTGGATTGAACACAGATTTAGTAGTGCTAATTTCTTCCCAAGCAGTTTCACATCCAAGAGCAATGATGACTAAAGCGCTTGTGGAAATATACATTTGAAACTTTGAGGTGATAAAAGTAACATTGATTTATTGAGAATTGAATATAACAAGATCGATTTATCCATGAATTTGAATGGCTGTCGATAGTTGTGCCCAAGTAAGGGGGTATATATATAGCCAGCACTTGTTTATATTTCTTGGCTTTGAAACAACTCGTCGCTCATCCACGCTTATTGAACCGAGTACTCCAAATGTGCTTTCGGAACCTGAGCTCGGCCACAAATCAGAACTTATTTAGTTATTCAATGGTATTAGAAATCTGTTTTCATAAGTATAAAAGACTGCATGATCGGTTGGCTATGTGACCGCAGCCATGTGCTCCAATGCCTAACCTTTTGACCTCGCCAAAATCAACATAAGAAAACCGATCCCAACCAACAACAACGTCAGGTTTATAGATTTAGTGCTTTTTCTTTAAACAAGTAACTAGAACTAGGACATTTTCCTTTGACTGCCTGGGCGAAAGTGGTTATTGATTTCCACAAATAATGATAAATAGATTATCCACTCATATTGTACAGCGGTTATTTCATGACGATTGTGCGTGGTCGGGTGGTTTTTTCGCGGGCTAATGTTGAATCTTCAGGGACATGTGGAAAAGACTCGAATATTGAGTTAATTTGTAAGTTTTCTTGAATTTTATCGCTGTTTGTTTGTATTGAAGCAAGTAAGTAAGAGTTAGTGAAGGTTTTTAATGCAATCGGCTGTTAATTTGGTTGACTACAAGTCCAGTTACGAACGAGACGATGTCTTGTTGTATTGAACGAACTTGAACTCGTTAACTGGCGGCTTAAATTTGATTCAAAACTTACCCGATTCCCGCCTGAATACCAAATTGCTTTTTCAAATTGATAATATTTAAGAGGAGAGGTGGGTTGATGTTGTCGCGACCTGTAGAACAAAGCGTGAATCAATGCGAAGGACGCGTACGTTAAACTTAACTTCAATTTATATGGCAAAACAAAGCCAATAACTTAAGCTTTTCCAAAATCATGTCAAGTATTCCGATGTTCCTTTGCAATAACTATCAGTTTGGTTAGCGAATTGAATATTTAGCCGGAATTAAGTTTTAAACTACATTTATTGTTCTTGGGCCGCCATGCTTCTTCATGGCCTCCAGTCAGCAAAATGACAATTGGTAATATAATATAAACCCTTCTTTGACAAAACATCTGGGAAAGCAGCCCTTTGTAAATATAAGTCTTATGTTCCTGTAAAGTGACATTCAACATACATCTGGCAAGGCATTCAGAAGGGAAATTGGGCAAAATAAGTCCACATTCTGCAAATATTTGAAAAGAATTATGTCATGCATGGATGATTTTCAAGAATTTTCCTTGGCTGTTTTTCTAAGAACTGCATTTTACAGGTGGCCTTTGACATCTTTGTTCATTCCTTACTGCTATACTTGTATGAAATCTAACATGCCCTTTGTATACAACACAAGGCCATACCTGTAAAAAAATAACAGCTCAGGGATATTTCAATATGGTGTGAATAACATGATTCATGACCTTCTCGACAATGAACGTTGGAGATGTGAGCTTAAAGGTGGTACACATGAGGGAGTTTGATTCCATAATACCCTCCTGCAACATTCTACCAGAGCAAGGCTACCTTGTCTGCACCAATGACGTCAAGAAAAAGAAAATGTTTTGCTCCCAAGTTTTGCTCCATCGTATCAAATTGGTTAAATGAAAAAATAAGCTCCAGTGGCAAATCTCTTGTTGGAGCAAGCTCGCTCATGTGTACAGTACCAGTCTTGAAGCTCTCAAAACATCCTGAATTGAATTTTAAAGTATTAATTTTGACTCTTATCGTTTAGTTTTGAGTTCTGAACTGGGGTATGGATCCTATGTTATTTTATTGTAATGACTATATTGAGTGGTGTAGAGCCTACTCACTTCACCTTCGGTATTTACATCTGAAGCAATCCAGTATTAAGCCTTTTTTATGAGTTTTTTGTTTTAAAGGACCAACTTTAGTTCCTTGCAGTACACCATTGTAAATTAAAAAATGGGATGCCTGTGGAGTAGAACTGTATGGGGGTTATAAGCTAGCTATACCCCTAACTTTACATTTCTCTGTAATATAAGTAGATTTGAACAGTTTCAACATTTTTTTTTGTTTGAATTTAGTAAGATTTTATACAGGTTCTAAGAAAAATAGCATGTAACTTTATTTAACTGGTTATTTTGCATTTTATTGATAAAATATTATGCTAATGAGCAGCTGTCATTTTGCCAAACATTCTGCTGCAGCTGTCATTTTGTCAAACGGTCTGCTGAGAACAAGCCTTATAGAATCCATTCCAAGGGACATTTTCTCTGAGAATGACAAACTAATTGACAGAAGATTGCCTGGTTTCTGAGCATGTGGGTTTCTGAGCATGTGGTAGAATGGCAAGCACTGTGTGCTGTGGGTTCAGTTTATACCTGCTGTGGTTATCAAGACTGTATTATTTGTAGCTGTTCTAGTGTACTTAATGCCATGTTTTAACCATAATTTATCATTTTCTTTTAAGGTCAAGAAAGCATTCCCAATGCCTGTCCATCTACGATGAGCAGTGGTGAGTGTTTTTTTGATGAACGAATTTTAGAAAATGAGGATAATTTAACTAATTACACAAGGTTATATATCCTCTTATTAACAAATTCTTGATGTTATAAAGTGTTCAAAACTCAAGTGGAACCACAAGAGCAATGAGTGGGCTCACTGCAAAGTTTTGAACTCTTCTTATGATGTCAATAATGTGATGATATAAAGAGGAATTAAAATAACAACATAAACAAAAGTGCAATTCTTATTTTGACACATTTTTGCTCATAAGAATCCTTGCATTCTGCTTGACTCCTTGAAGTGTTCCAATGGCAGGACATAATTATACTATGCTGCCACCAACACTGTTTACACTTGCACTAATTTGAAAGAAAAAAAATGATTTTCACACATTCCTATGAGTGTAGTGAAACAATTTATAGACCATATTATTAAAAGAAAGGCACAAAATTATCTTCAAGTATCTTCCAAASCGTAGAACCATAGAAGCATTAAAGATTTTAAGTGACAAGCCATTGCTAAATAAATAAGTGGATTGCTACCATCTAATTATCCATGGGATCAATTAAACATATATTTCTCCATTTTGTGTTGATTTTATTCAGTCCTGTTTTGAGTTATAATGCTGGCTGACGCAATTCAGCCTTTTGCTGCAATGGGTTTAATTAAACAATTATTGATTGATTGATTGATTGATTATGAACTCATAAATGAAAACGTTAAACATTTCATAAATAATTTTGAGCCTTTCTCTTAATATAACTATTTTTTTCCTTCTGTCGATTGAAATGACAATTTGTAGACCATTATTCATTTTTTTAAATACTAAATTAGTAGCACTTCTGTACATTTTTTAGGGTATGCAAGTAACAGAAATTTTGATGAAGTTTTTGAAAGTACTGTAACTAATCTCCTACAAGAAAAGATTCACTTGAACAGAAGGCCAAGCTATCATCTTTCCTCGCCCTTACAAGGAATGATTCCAAACTCTGCATTGACGGGATTACCAAGTTCTTCAGGAAAAAGAAAACGAAGTAAAACAACCACAACTACAACAACAGAATTTCTTCACAGTAACTCATCTGGTATTAGCATTATTTTTGGATTTTATTTAAAGCCTGCGGTATATAATTGTTTTTCATGCTATTGAAATTGGCTTGATACCAATGTTAAATTTGGAAAAAAAGTAAAGTGCTCCATGGTCTACATATTCACTTTTTTAGTGAAGAATAGTTTGGGTGATTGCTGTCATGAATTGTAGAGTTTACAGTAAAATAAAATGACAAGATTTTTGATAATTAAGACTTTGTACATGTAAAGGAAAACCACAGGCAGCCCATTCAATTGATTGTTTGCAAATTTAATCATTAATTGGATGGGACGCCTGTGATTAAACCCAAAGAACCTAATGTAATGTCAATGTTGAGTGAACTAACTTTTCTGATCTAGTTACAGCCTTGCTTTGTTGCCATTTGTCAAATGAAATTCGTGCTTCCACAAGATGACTAAAGAATACATGTATTTTTTGTTTTCAGAATCACCCACTCCTAGTACTAGCTTTTCAATAAGCGAAATACTATCAGAAACAACCAAACGAACAGCTGAAGTCCAAACAGGACCCTCCTTGATTTTAAGTGTGGATACTCCTTTTCGTTCGCACAAGAAAAAGAAACAAGAAATAGATACTAGTTGCCCATCACCWAAGAGTGTGAAGATTGCAACGTTTAGTAAAGCTCCCCCGACTCATTCTGCTAGTGGAATTCCTGAGATATCTGGTGTTGCTGGTGGAGGKGTTGGAACATTGTGTAGGCCCATTGCCATACCAGGTAAGTTAAGGAAGGAGACTTCAGTCAGTTTGGCTCGACTGTCTAACAGCAAACATTTTGAACTCTTTTGACATTGTGATGAAATTGCAATTCTACATTTTTACAGCTTTTACAGCAAAACTTGCTGCATTGGAACTTCTTTGTTTGGATTTTGTCCTTTCCTGAAATCTTCAGACTTTGGTTGATTTGTAGTAAGCTCCACCCATAAGTCACCAAAAAAAAAACAAAAAAGCAACAACAACAACAAAAAAACAACAACAAAAAACAAAACAAAAAAACAAATCCCAATGATCACCAAAAAACATCCCAAACATCTTTTGASCTCTTATGAAGTCATGATGCAGCAGGTCTCCTGACATTGTAAAAATCTGCAAATGATTTTTGATATGTATCAAGTACTGTATTTAATCTTTGACTGTATTGTGTTCATGTCAGGTGACAAAGCAAGTAAAGTTGATTCAGTACCTTCCACCCGAATGGTTCCAGTTGGTGGTTCAGCTGCATTTGTGCCTTGTGTGTCAAATTTTTCATCCGAACCGCTTTGTGGAAAAAAAGTAAATTGTGGTTGTAGTGCTCACACTAAGCATCATGCAAGATATAATCCTGTTCTTCAAAGTTTTGGTTCAACCAAGACAGATCCTCTTGTCATTGACTCTGATGATGAAGAGAACCCTGTAATTATTGATCTTGATGACGTGAATTCATCAAAAGGTACAGAGATGAAGTTCAGATAT